AGGAGTTGAACAAAACAGGAATCCTAAAATGTCTTTAATAAAAAAAGACCAATACATGTGGTAAACTCTCCACATGTAAAAGGGAACACCTGTGCATGCATTCTCATTGCATTAATCAACCGAAGAAAATCCCACGTTAATAAAAAGCCATGTTAGTTCATATTCAATATTTTGCATACTTCTTTCACCTACTGGGACGTCTGTTTGGGTTACAAACGTTGGCGCAGAAGCCACCTGTGGGCTCCTTTCCTCCCCGTTCTCCATGGGGAGGCTGGATTTCATCTCTCGCTGTGGGCCGGCTTTAAAAACTCCACTCTGTTAAAGAAACATGAAACGCGGCCGCGATGCCAAAATATGAATCTAAATTTAATCTGCATTGATTCTCTACAAAAACGCCAATTTGCGGAGTACAAACCTGCTGGGCACATCTTCTGTTTCTGTAAACCAGGAAGCGACCTCGCCGCATCACCAAAATAGAACTCTAGGAGATAATACCCCATCACTGTGGTTGAAATAAAATACTGTTGATGACAATCGCTATCTTCTTAATGTGGCTTGTTCCTTAATGGATTCGGGATTCAGGGGGATTCAGTAAACTGCTTCAGAGCTCTGGTTTGATGCACGCGTTGGACCGACACACAATGGTTGAATGAATGTATGGAACCGCAGCATGGGAAAATGTCCCCGGGGCAAGTCTCCATGTCAGTGTGTGGTCACACATAAAAGGCAGCTATATTCAGCAGTAAGGAAGTACAATCATTCATCGGGATCGGAGTTTGCTGGGTAAAATCTCTTCTCACCTTTCCGTGTCCAGCGCCATCGGACCGCTGCCCCGATCGGCCCGGGCCGCTGCATCATTCAGTTTGCGCGCATCTTATTCCTGAGAGACTCAAAGGCTCCCTAAAAGATTTCACGAGACCGCTCCGCCAGCCGAGCTGTGCGCGACGGAAAACAACGCTTTAAACTCTTCGCTCCTCCGTGGCGTCTCGCTAAGGTTCCGCTTTTGCAGCTCGTGAATCTCCGCCATCTGCGACTGAGATGTGTATTAAAGCTTAACAATCGCTGGCCTCCTGCCTCATTCCGTCCCTATGTCGAAACACGCTGCACGAGCGTCTGTATTTACCTCGTCGTGGCTGCACGCTCCAAAGCAAAAGCAGCGCCAAGTATGTGCACCCGATATGAGAAAGAGTTGGAGCAGGTGGCGGGTTCACTGGAAGTGTTTCCACAGGAGGCACATTTCTCCACCGTGGAGAAGCTGAGAGCTCCCAATCCAACCACGTCCCCCTGCAGCCTTCTCCTCCTCCTTTCTGTTCACACTTCTAAACACCTGGACTAACAAAAGACCGGCTTTGATCGTGGGAAATCCCTTGGCACGGCAGCAGTGAACCCACCGCCGAGCCGGCTCCGCGCGCCTGTGCGATGCACGTTGGGCCGCGGCCGCTCTGCTGGGGATTCTCGGCATCGAAAGGCGTTTTCGTGGCACCGGCACACGTCACCTGTCAAAGCCGGACCATGAAAGTGAACACACTAGCAAAAAAAACACACACACACACACACACAGGAGTGGGAGGGTGAAGGCGACTGAGCGAGAAAGAGAGAACATCTTGTTTCTCCAGCGTGATCAGCGGCTCTGCAAACACACACACACACACACACACACACAAGGCCGCTTGTTATCAGATGCTTTCCCACGCTGCTTTGGCACAAAGCTCCACAGCAGGATGGGAGGATGAAGCAACGGAGGGACGGACGGAAGTACACAGGGATGGCGGGTCGGCCCTGGGCAGCTTTGACTCACCGCGGGGGGGTTAAACGCATCCCACCCAGCGGCGGTTTGAGTTTGGGCAAGCGAGATCAGGGGTCAGCAACAGCAAGGACCTGCCGGGAAGCTGGCAGATGAGCGGCCCGTCCCGAGCAGCCGATAACCGCTGCGCGTACAGGACACAGTACCGGCCCGGGGAGGGATTGAGAACGTTCCTCCTCCACATCTCTCCCTCCCACATCATCGACTCCTCTATTCGAGAACATCGGCCTCTTTTCTCCGCGGCTCTCTTGCCTCCATCTCCCCTCGCCTGCTGCTCAGCCCCGAGCGCTTACGTAAGAGGCACATTTGCATAACAGCCGTTTTTTTTTCCCTCTTCCTCCTCCTCTTCTGGCACGTGAGACGCACTGGATAATATTGTTCAACCACCCGGGCTGTTGGTAAACAACCACCTCCGTCACAGCACTTTCATCCCGCTCGCACTATTTGCCCGCGCGCAGGTCTAGTCTGTGACAAGAGATTCGGTGTGTCTGCATCGGCTGATGCCAGCTGGCGCCGGGCCAGAGGCACGGAACAGCTGCCATTTACAGAGCGCGCGCCGACGCGGCGAGATGGGCCGCATTTCGGAAAGGAGGCTGACCGCCTGCCCGCTGTGTGGAACCTATACAATAATAGGTCTCCTAGCGCGAGGTGGCTGTTGAAATCAAGCAGCCTGGCATTATCCTCTTCAGGGTTAGGAAGAGAGAGAGAGGGGGGACTGATGTGAGGGTGTGTGTGTGTGTGCGTGGCGTGAAATGAGGCCGACATGCACTCTGCCGCCGTCGTGTCTTTGCTGTAGGGCCTCTTCAGAAGTCCGCTAAACAAACGCGGCTCACACTTGCAGGAATATTATGCAAACACAGGCGCAAGGACACACGCGCACTCGTAATGTGCGCGCTGTGGGAATAAAGAGGAAAATAATGTCAGGTCGATACATGAGGTGTGAGCTGTAAGAGACGCCAGATACCTCGTTACATATCAATTCATCCAGAGGAGCCTTAATGAAGGCTGGCGGATGAGGAAGGGCTGCTCTCCCTCGCTCGCTCCGCCATGTGCCTCCAGGCACAGGCGCTTCCAAAAAAAAGGGACAACAACAAATGATCAAGGGAATCAAGCACAAATTATCTCTCATTTGGGGATTTCTTATTTACTTGTGTGGGAAACAGCAGTTAAAGCCAAGGCGTTTATGTTGATAGAGCTTGTTCGGATACATCAAGTGCTTTAAATACGTGTGAGGGGAATGAAGCGGCGTCGTGTGGCCCTCCTTCTTAGACCGACAGCGGTTTAGGGAGTAAATCCATCAACATCGTGCCGCTGATGCACACAGCCTGAATGTACCGGTCCAGAAATTCCAGTTTTATCTTCTCACATAAATACACAAAACCGTATTTGCGCGGGCTAAGAAATTCCCACGTAGAATACCCCCGGGTCCTGCCGCTTTTCACCACTCCACTTTGATGCACGACCCAATACAAACACATTGAAACGTATACAAACAGGCAGGCGCAACCCGCCGTGACCTTGGCCCCAAATGTCACCATGTTCTGGTGTTTACAGTCCTCTGTTGGGTAAAACACCACTGTGAGCGTGTTGCTCGTAATTAGAACAAATAGTCTCCACGTGGAGAGGATGTTTCCATCGATTGATCCAAATGGGAGTCTACAGCAGTCACAATATTGACCATCATCTTAATAAAAACGTCAGCAAACGTCCCCCCCCCGCTGTGAGGCTCAATCGGAGAGAGGCAGATGAACCTGAGGTGTTTGACTTTATGCATAAAGGCACACGACGCACCACGAGAATGTGCGCACCAGCGAAAGAAACCACACCTGCAAAACAGGAGGTCACTCTCCCATCTCTCCTCTCCTCTCTTATAAAATCGAGTAAGAAAGATGCATTTGTGACCTAGTAAAAAACGAAGTGTCTGTTGTTGTG